GCCCTGGCTCAGCCTGTGCCCCAGCAGGTCCAGTGAGCTGGTTCAGCTCAGACGGGCAGCGGGGCTTCTGGGACTATATCCGGTTGGCCTGCAGCAAAGTGCCCAACAACTGCGTGAGCAGCATTGAGAACATGGAGAACATCAGCACAGCCCGAGCCAAGGTAAGGGGCCCTGGGCATGCAGCCAAGTGGGGAGAGGGGGCCTGCCTGCTCCTTGGTCCTTATCCTCTGTCCATGGCCCTGGGGAGAAGGGCCACAAGAGGGCTACACCCGATGCTGAACACGTGGGTCCCCCTGGGGCAGCAAGTAAAGGTAAGCATGCCTTCCAGGGCCGGGCATGGATCCGGGTGGCACTGATGGAGAAGCGCATGTCAGAATACATCACCACGGCTCTGCGGGACACCCGGACCACCAGGTCAGACCTCTCAGGCAACTCAGACCAGAGGTCTCAGTATGCGTGTTTATTGCGTAAACAGCTGATCCTTAAGTTCCTGCAGCAACCTTCAGTACCTAGACTACAAGTCCCAGCACACACTGCTAGTTTCCCTCTTCCAGCCTGGCCTAAAGTCCCAGAAATACACTTTTAGCACTACCACCATCACTTCCAAGTCAGACTCTATGGCCCATTATCCACCGTCACTGCCCAGCCCCAGTCCTGTCATGCACAACTCTGCCCTTGGACAACCTCTGGAGGAGCCTCAACCTTGTGCCTTTCACGTGTGGGCTTTGCTCCGTGACTCACAACACACAGCCCTTCCGGCTCACCAAACAATGGCAGCAGGTCTGTACTTGCTACCCACAGACCAGAGTCCCAACGTGCAGGATTCAGTCCCAGACTGTGGGTTCACAAGGAAGCTGGGTCCCTGGGGCAAGGGGGTCCCAAGGCAGAATGTGCCAGTGTGGGAAGATGTGTTTGAAGCTGTCTGGGCACAGTGGGGGGCACTACCTCCCACTCCCAAGTGGCCACACCCAGCCTGATGTTTTCACTGTGTTCTATCCCTAGTCTACTTATCTCAGAGTTCACATCGGCGTAGTTTTGGAGCACCTACTGTATGCCAAGCACTAATGACTACGACTCAGTTTCCTGATTTGAAGGATCTGGGTGGCCCAGTACTTGGTGGAGAGGGGGTAGCTCGGAGGATTGGGGGAGTCTCTTCTCAGGGAACACCCATGCTGGTATAGGCGAGGACCAAGCTCTAGCCCCAGTGAGCCCCAGCCTGAGATGGTGAGACAAGATCCACACCTGAGTGGGATGGGGAAGGAGACACCTCCTTCCTGCAGGAAAGGTTTGCAGTAAGAGCACAAGAGAAGTCCCCAGGGTGGGGGCTCCCTGGGGGCTGCACCATCCGCCCTTCCCCTCTCCCCACAGACGGTTCTATGACTCTGGAGCCATCATGCTGCGGGAAGAAGCCACCGTCCTCACTGGGATGCTGATCGGACTGAGCGCCATCGACTTCAGGTGGGGTCTGCCTGTGGTGGTGGTGGTAGAGGGGGGCTGCTTCCCCCACAAATGTCCACACCCCTATCCCCTCATACCCGCCCCAACCCTGTGGCTCCTCTGCCCCAGCTTCTGTCTGAAGGGCGAAGTCCTGGACGGGAAGACCCCCGTGGTCATCGATTACACGCCCTATCTAAAGTTCACGCAGAGGTGAGCAGCCCGATTATTGGGGTGGGTGCGGAGAGGGGGCACGGGGACATCCTGGTTCCACTGCCGAGGAGGCTGGCGCGGGCGCGCGGTGGGCGGGGGCCGGCCGTGCCCACTGCTCGGTCCCCCAGCTACGACTACCTGACGGACGAGGAGGAGCGGCACAGCGCCGAGAGCAGCACGAGCGAGGACAACTCGCCCGAGCACCCGTACCTGCCGCTCGTCACCGACGAGGACAGCTGGTACAGCAAGTGGCACAAAATGGAGCAGAAGTTCCGCATCGTCTATGCGCAGAAGGTGCGCGGCGGGGGCGGGCGGGGCGGGGGACCGGGCCTGCGGGCCGCAGCCGGGACTGGCCCTCGCGCCCGGGCTGAGCCGGCGCCCCGCAGGGCTACCTGGAGGAGCTGGTGCGTCTGCGCGAGTCGCAGCTGAAGGACCTGGAGGCGGAGAACCGGCGGCTGCAGCTGCAGCTGGAGGAGGCGGCAGCGCAGAACCAGCGCGAGAAGCGGGAGCTGGAAGGCGTGATCCTGGAGCTGCAGGAGCAGCTGTGAGCGCCGCCGCCTGCCCTGCCCCTGCCCTGCCCGCCACCCCGACCACGTCACCCCGCTGCACCCCTTCATCGCCCCCATCGACTCTCGCATCGCTTTTCCTCTGATCTGGCCAGCTCCACCCCAAGATCCCCGCAATGACCTTCTAACATTGTCCTCAACATAAGATCCAGTGACTTCCAACAGCGCCACCTTCACCCTCAATTTCCCAGCACCGGCCAGAGTGGCCATCCAACATTACTGCAGGGACCCAGCATTACTCACAAGGACGTCTGACGTTACTGAGTGACCTTCAGCGTGACTGAGCCCTTCCCACTGCTCAGCACCCCTCCGATCTGCATCACAGGCCCCTGTCATCACCCACAGCGACCCCCGACCCCAGACCCCACCCCTACGGATCCCTGTAACATTTCTTCCCTACACCTTTTGGTCACTCTGACTTTCCATCATGACCCCCCAAGACTCCAGGGATTCCCACGCTTTTCTCCACCGACGCCCCCATCACCCCAGCTGACTCCTACAACACTCCATTACTCCCTCTAACTGCCGGTATTAGCGCACCAACCCCATCACCCCTCCACCCCAGGGTTACGTCCATTGCCTTCCAGGACCTGTCCCACCGACCCCAACACTGTATCCCCACTTTTGCCATTCAGGTTTCTTTCCTCCTCCACCCCTTGTTGAACCTCCCTTCCCCACGTGTCCTCCCACTCCCAGCCAGGCCTGACCCCTCCTCCCCCTCCCAGGACAGGTCTAATCCCCGGTGACCACGCCCCCCTGGCCCAGGGTTCCAAGGAGCTCACCACGCCCCTGGTCAACCAATGGCCTTCGCTGGGAACGCTCAATGGGGCAGAGGGTGCCAGCAACTCCAAGCTCTACCGGAGGTAAGTCCCAGCCACGCCGGGCCCGGGTCTGAGTGCGGGTGCCCCCGGGGAAGAAGGGCGACACGGTGGCAGGCCTCTGCCGAACACCAGCTCTCTGCTCTGCTGCAGACACAGCTTCATGAGCTCGGAGCCGCTGTCAGCTGAAGCTAGTCTGAGCTCAGACTCCCAGCGCCTGGGAGAGGGCAAGCGGGACGAGGAGCCCTGGGGCCCCATCGGTGAGCACCCCCAACCCGGCACCCAGCACCCAGCACCCCTCGAGGAAAGGCTGAGGCAAAGCCTCGGAGTCAGGCTCTGACCAGTTCCCTCATTCGCTCAGCCCTTTCTGAGAGCTTAGCACAGCAATTAAGAGCTTGGTTTGGGATGTCAGGCAGAACCCAGTGCAAATCCTGGCTGTGCCTCCCCTGGCTGTGTGAGCTTGGCCAATCACTTCACCTTGCTGAGCCCATTCGCATCTGTAAAATGGGGGTGTTGATCAAAATAATCACCAGTGTCAGCATACAGTGAGGGCGTGATGGCTTTTTGGTGTCGTGACATCCTCAAGGGGCTCACAAACTGCGGGATTCCTCAGCCTAACTGACTCGCTCTTGTCTCATGCACACTGTGAACTACTTGCCTGACCATTGTTTCCCCCTTTTCTTTGGCTGCCAGGAAGCTCAGAGCCAAATTAGTGGCTCCCTTCGAGCGAATGCCCAGGACTTCAACGCATGCATTTTGTGTTGACCTCACCCCTGGCTTCATCTTGGTTTTACCTATCCTAGTTTCCCCTGTGCCTGGATTTCCTGTCTTCTCTTTTTTATAACCAACCACACTGTATCGGATGACCCTAGATCTTCTCTAAGACAAGGCAGGCTGTGGACATGTAACCCCGTCACACTGTGTTTGTGATTGTCTGTGTGTCTGTCTCCCCACCAGACTGTGAGCTCCGTGAGGGCAGGGACCGTGTCTCGTCCGTTCTCTGTATCCCCAGTGCTTGGAACAGAGCAAGTGCTCACTGCGTGTTTAATAAATGGACAAAGAGAGAGGATGAACCTCAGGGGGAGACAGAGACATAAACTGACGATTACAATACAGTGTCCCCAGCATTGCGCATGGCATGGGCAGGTGCTTAATCAAGGTTTAATTGAATGTGGCAAATGCTCCAGAAGATATCAAGTGGGGGGGGGTGGGACTTGAGGGCTGCCCCTCCTCTGCCCACCCCCTTCCCAACTCACACACATGCAGACCCATTGGCCCGGCCTCACCCACCCTCTCTCCCCAGGGAAGGACCCCACGCCCTCCATGCTGGGCCTCTGCGGTTCCCTGGCCTCCATCCCCAGCTGCAAGTCCCTGGCGAGCTTCAAATCCAACGAGTGCCTGGTGAGCGACAGTCCCGAGGGCAGCCCAGCCCTGAGCCCCAGCTGAGGAACGGCGTGGGCAGTGCCAGCCCCACCTGCCAGGGGCCATGGACACCTGTCACCTTTCTTCAAGTCCCCCAATCCAGGCCACCCTTCCAGAGAACGCTGCCCACCCAGCCAGGGATCTCTTGGGGAAGACAACCCCCTCTTGCCTGTCTTAGCTTTCTGCCGAGGCGGCAGGGGCTGCAGCTGCCAACAGGAAGCTGGCTAGGCCAGGAGGCAGGGGTACCGAGGTCACAGGAGTCCCCTGGGGAAGCCTATTCCATTCTTCCCGTGACCCTATGCCTGGCCAGCTCCCTTCTGGACTCCCCTTCACTCCTTTCCCGGACCCTCCTCAGGAGCTGGTGGCCCAGCCTCCTCTGCACCCCCATGCCTCTTCTATTCCACGTGTCCCCTGGAGTCACTCCTTTCCCAGCACCTGGGGCAGGGGTTTGAGGGGATCAGGCAAATAAAAACCAGAGGACTGAGGGCAGCCTCATCTGTGGGCAGCTGGATGGGGCTCCGTCTGGGGTTAGGAGGCAGTGGAGCCGGTGCCTGGCCCATAACCAAGGTCGGACAGAACTAGCGCTGGCCGTGTGGGGGTAGGCAGGCCACAACGCAAGGAGTGGTGGCTTTTGTACGAAGCGTCCCAAGTATTAGGTCTGTGCAGGGCAGGACCGAGACACACAAGCACCCCTTCAACCCGATATCCTTTAATAACTCACTCAAGCCCAGGCTGAGAGGAAGCCGAGCACTCCAGGGGCAGGACGGAGATGTGCTCTGGCCGGGCCACATCCTTGACGTTGGCCTGAGCAATTCAGCCTTGGCCCAAACTTGCAGACCCCACTCCACCCTGCCCATGTGCTCCCTGACACACAGCTGATGAGATGCCGGGACTCTGCTCCCCATCTCCAACAACCCCTGGGCCCTCCAAGGGCACGCCTGCCAGCCTCACCTCCAGCCCAGTCACTCACCATCCCCGAGATGCCACCAGCCATAAAGCCAACTGTCAGGCCAGAGCCTGGCAGGTAAGCTACCCCTCCTCCTCTGTTGTCACTGAAGTGTGCCCTCTAACCCAACAGAGGGGGCCTTGCTAAGTTGGAGAAGTCCTCTTTGTGGGTGTCACCCTGGCAGCCACAGCCAGACCAGGGCCCCTCCCAGGCCACCTCCTGCAATTCAGGGCCCACTTTCCCCACCCCCCAAGGCCTCCACAGTCACAGGCACCAGGCAGAAGTTCATCATCTTTAGACTTAAGGAATTAACAGGGGTGGGGGAGACTAAGCCCGGCTCAGCTACAGCAAATACAAAGGGAAACACAAAGCAGGGGTGTGAGAGACAGACAGCAGATTTGGTCTCAAACTTGGAGAGTGGGCAAGTGGTGATCCTCAGGAGTGGGAAGAAAGCTGTGTCTGAGGATAGCTTGGGCGGCCCCCAAGGCAGCCCTACCCCCGGGGCTTGTGGGGAGGGAAGGGAAATGGTCCCTCCCCTCCGTGCTGAGGAAAAGGCACTTGGCTCAGTCTCCTCCTCCTGCTCGCCCCATCCGTGGAAAGAGGGGGTCCTTGTCTCCGTGCCCCTTCAACGGCCCAGGAGCCGGTCCCGATTGAGCCTCTGGAAGAAGCTTTTGCCAAACTCGTAAGTGCTGATCATGATGGCGCAGGAGGGGGCAGCCTTGATGATCCTGGGGAGGAAGCCTGCGGCAGGAGGGGCCAGGTCAGCATCCTAGGGGGCCTCCACCCACCCCCAGGGCAGGACAGGACACATGCACGCATGTGTGCTCACACACACTCACCTGCAAAGAGTCCCCTGGTGCCCGACTCAGCCCGGATCCTTCGCAGCAGCAGCCAGGTGGAGTCCACGTGCAGAGGTGTCACTGCAAAGGCCAGGTGGTCTCAGCAGACCCCACTTCACCCCGCTCACGCCCTGCCTGCTCACCCCTGCTAGGCCAGCCCTCACCTCTCACAGCCTCCATCGCTCCCAGTGCGACCTGGCGTTGGGTCTTCACTACGTCAAAGGGTAAAGTCAGCACCGCAGCGACCTGGTGGGGTGGGGAGAGGGCTTGGCTCCATTCCCAGGAACTCTGGCCCCTGCATCCCAGTGGGCTGCTGGGGCTGGGAGGGACAAAGGCCTCACAAGGTCTGGCAAGGACAGTGAGCGTGCTCCCTGACACACAGCTTGTGCGCTACTATGTAGGGACTTTCCTCCTGGCATCTCCAACAACCCTCGGACCCCCCAAGGACACCTCCAATAGCCTTACCTCCAGACCAGTCACTCACCGTCCCTGAGATGCCACCAGCCACAAAGCTGATGCCCACAGATGTCTGGTTCTTTGGCCTGAGCCCACTCAGCCAGCTCTTCACCAGCTCATAGTTGAACCAGTACAGGGCTGGGGGGTGCATATGCTCATTAGAGATGGGGGGCAGTGAGGTGGGCCTCAGAGGTCCCCCCTCCCATCTTGCACTGACGACCACTCCCTCCCAGTCCTGAGGCTGTCCGCTACGTGCCAAGCCCTGTAACAGGTCCCTGTAGAGTTAGCTCACAGAGACTTGGGCAGATACTCTCCCATTTCACAGACGAGAAAACTAAGGCTGGCTGGGCGTGGTAGCTCACGCCTGTAATCCTAGTACTCTGGGAGGCCAAAGCAGGCAGATCGTTGGAGCTCAGGAGTTCGAGACCAGCCTGAGCAAGAGCGAGACCCCGTCTCTACTAAAAAAAAATACAAGGAAATTATCTGGACAACTAAAAATATATAGAAAAAATTAGCCGGGCATGGTGGCACATGCCTGTAGTCCCAGCTACTCAGGAGGCTGAAGCAGTAGGATCACTTGAGCCCAGGAGTTTGAGGTTGCTGTGAGCTAGGCTGACACCACGGCACTCACTCTAGCCAGGGCAACAGAGTGAGACTCTGTCTCAAACAAAAAAAAAAAAGAACAAAAGAGAAAACTAAGGCTCAGAAAAGTGACTTCACGATCAGCAGTAATAAAGCAGGGACTTGGCAGTAGACCCTTGTGCATCCTCACCCTTACCCCATCCCCTGCCCCCCTGGATGCCTACCTGAGAAGGGCACATCTCGAAGGGCAGTGGGGCCCCAGCCCAGCCACAGTGAGCGCCAGCCACCCTGAGCCACTGCAGCTCGAACGCAGGCACCCAGCTCACGGTACGACACATGCTGTGCCTGCAGCTTTGTGCGCATAAGCTCCAGGGGACTGATCACGGTCACGGTGCCCACTGTTGGGGGCATAATGGGGAGAGGTCAGGTCACAGGCCCTATGTAGCATCGCCCAGCTGCTGCCCCAGGATCTAGGGGCCTGGAACAGCCCCCTCCCCCACAGCCTGGCAGAGAGGCTGGGTCACAGGTGGGGACAGAGAAGATCAAGGGCCCAGGGCTGTGCTCACGGCGGGCAAGTGCACCAGCCACCATGGGTGCGTAGAGGTCAGAGATCAGGGCTCGACCACACAGGAAAGCCTTGAGTTGGTCGTAGGCAGTGAAGTAGATGGCGGTCGCTGGCACAGTCATCACCCTGGGGGGGTGGACAGAGGTTAGCTAGGACTCCTAAGGGAGTCTTACGCATCCCTGCCCAGCCAGCCAATGGGGAGCAAGGGATCAGCAGGTACCAGGGCAGGACAGGCTACTCACAGGGTGGCTGGGAGGCCGCTCCACAGGGTCCTGGTGCCCTCATGCCTCACAATCTTCACAAAGGCATCCTGGTCAAGCGGGCGCCAGTCCAGGGGGAAGAGGATGGACATGGAGGAGGCCTGTGATGGGGCTGGCCCAAGCTGGACCTTTGCCTGATACCCTCAGCCTCTGCCCACAGCCCTGGGTCCTGCTGAAAGGCAGTCAGCCCCTCAGGCCTCTACATATGCAGTTCCCCAGTTGGGTGAACTCCTATTCACCCTTTAAAATCTCTTAGAGGAACTACTTTCTCTGGGAAGCCCTTACCAAACTGAATGGGCTACCCCTACATGCCTAGCACTACCCATTCTTTCCTAGGTCTGCTGCCTGGCCAAACTGAACCCCTGGGGAATGCCCCTGGTCCCACAGCTGCTCCTCACCAGGGTGCCAGTGAAGCGGGTAGGGTCCTGAAACCAGGTGGCACAGCGGGAACCATTTGGGCACAGGTACAGGGGCTCCAGGACACCATTGCAGTATAGGAGACACTTCCCTGTGGATCGGAGAGAGGAGGGCACTGGGGAAAGGCAGGGGGCATTAAGATGACAGGGCCCTGGAACCTTGCAGGGAGGTGGGGAGCCCCTGCCCCTGGAAGGCCAGCAGAGGCTGAGATCCCTGTGTGGACACTCTGTTGGCTGAGGTGACCTGGAAGTAGGGGCTGGTCCATGGCTGTGGGACCCACTGGTGCCCTGGGGACACTGGGACTCTCCCTCCCCTGCACCCTCCCAGGCTTCCTATAGCTTGGGGCACTCACATTTGGCATAGGAGAGGCTCCAGAGTCTAGAGGAAGACACCAGCTCTAAAATATAAGGCAACCCCTCAAGTTAGGAGAGCCCTCCACCCGCCCCAGGGACCCCATCTCTGGGAGAGCCTTCTTTTGCCCAGGCACCACCCGCCATCGGCTCCAGGGTCAGGTACTTACCACTGGCCACTGAAGGACGCTGAGACTGCAAGCGGACCTTCACCACATCCAGGGGCGTCACTGGAGAGGAAGCAGGTCTACTGAGGACCCCACCTGTGACCCCTTCCCCAGGACCCAGCTGCCTCCAGTGTCTGGTCTGCCCCAATCCCCAGCTGCCCGCATACCACCTTCCCAGGTCTTACTGAAAAGGGAGGTGACCACAGCCCCAGCGCCTGAGGCCACCATGTGTTGGAGGGGGCTGATGCCCCCAGGGTCCTGGTCAGCCATCTTGTAGCTTCAGTCCTGAAAACCAAACCTCAGTCAAATGGAGCAGCGGCTCACAAAACAGAACTCAACCGGAGGGCCAGAAAGGAGGCACAGGCGCGCGACTTTAACCTCCCCCGCCCCCCATCACTCACCAAGTTTGAATTACCACAATACACTGACGAGGGCCTTCTAAAGTTATCGTCAGCTCCACTTTGCCAATGGGGAAACTAAGGCTCAGACTGAGCAGGTGACCTACCCAAGGTCACTTCAGGAGCAGTTTGGGAGGAAGCTAGCACAGCCTTCCTTTGGTTAATGGCAATAACGGCCCCAGGCCGTTCCCTCAGCCACATCACGTGTGCTTACTCTGCAAGACCTAAGGGCAGATGCGGGCCTTCGGCCCTTGGGCCCAAATATCAAAACACCTGAGCCACCGCGCCCTGCACTCCAGCACCAGGTCCCCGGGCGGGCACGTAGAGCCCCGAGGGCAGGCGTGGAGAGGTGGGACCGGGCCTCGAGCGAAACGGGTAAATGAATCTGATCAAGAAGGGACCGTCACCCCCTCGGGCCTGCAGGCGGAAGTGCCCAGAGCTCCCCCGCACCCCACCTCGCGAAGCTACACGGGTCAGGCCCGGGCCTGGCTGGGAAGGACAATCTTTCTGCCCCCCTCTCCGCAAGTACAGGCCCGGGGCTCAGCAGGGAGGCTGGGGAGCTGGGACAGGGAAAAGGGATCTCTCTCCTCGACCCCTGGTGACACTCCCTGGCCCGGACCCACGCACAGGGCCGCCGGGTGAGACAGACTACGTCGGCCTAACGGCCTGCGGCTCTAGGCCCCCAGCCCCGGCTCCTGGGACCACCAGAGAGACCCTACTCCCGCCTCCGCCCCTAGCCAGCCCCAGACCCGGCTTCGCCCCGCCTACTTGGCTCTAGGCCGGTGCTCGCGCGGCGCGGCACCCGGGGCCGGGCCTGCCCATAGCCGCTCCGCGGCCGGTGCAGGCTCCGCGAGCGCTCGCCCAGCACCGAGGCCGACTCCGAAAGCGGCCGAGTCGGCCCCGCCCCCAGACCCCGTCGCACGGCCCCGCCCCCCGGAGGGCCGACCGGCCGCACGCCCGGAGAGCTGCAGGCCCCTCCCACTTGCGTCCTCCGCCAGGACCCGCGGTGTTCCCGCCCCTGTGCCCCGGCCGCCGGGGCTGATCGCGCTCCCGCCCTGCACCCCTTGAGAGCTGCGGGCCAAGGTGACGGTCTCCGCGTCGCGCTTGACCTGGCAGCGGCACCTCACTTGCTGCGTATTCTCAGAAGTCCCACCCCACCGACATCCCGGCCGAGCGCCGCCCGGGAGCCCCACTGCCCCCGCGAACGCTCGGGACGGTGAGAGTAACCGCGTCCCTCTGCGTCAGGCTGCGCGGCGGCGGCGGCGACAGCGAGGCTTCAAGGCGAAGATCAGGCAACCACGGCGGACCTCTACCTGCCGGGCTGCCCGCCGAGGTGTCGCGGCTGCTCAGAGATTGGCCGGGCGGGATTCGCACCATCCCCGCTTGCTGGCGAGGGACGAGCCGCAGCTCAAAGCCAGTTGGCAGCCGCGGGCCCGGGGGTCCCTCGTGCGCCCTCGGGCAAGTTGCGCCAGCGCTGCGTGGGGAGACAGGGAATCGACGGTTTCGTATGGGTCATTCTCACATCGTTTGTCTCTTCCGAATTCCAAAACTTTCTTAAGTAGGTGGTTATTCAAATGTATTGCTCTATCTTATGGAAGGTGAAACAGGCTTGAAGCGAAGAACCCGGGATTCAGACCGGCCCCTGCTTTCACCCCAGCAGACTGCTACTCGGGGCAGCGTTTCCGACCCCGCTCCTCGGGGGCGGGACGCGTTTCTCTCCGGTGTCAGCCTCGCCCGGGAGACCGCACCTCCCGTTTCGCCTTGAAGACTTTCGCGCCGTCGGGAGTATTTGTCCCAACACGGAAAAACGAACACGGGGTGCTAGCTTGCGCCTTTAAGAAGGGTAGGCCGTGGCTTTGACGTCACTGCTTTCTCCGCCCCTCAGGCCCCAACTGGTTCTGTCCGGCGCTGGAGCCTCCCTGGCTGCCGGCGCCTGCCGTGTTAGCACGTGGATGCCGACGGGCCAACTATCAGCTTTCCCTGGGAAAAGGCCTTAGCGCTCCCCAAGGCTCCGAAACTCCTGCTTTGGGGACACGGAAAGAGGGATCTGTGGCCTGCGAAGTGGTGCTGGTCAAAAGGACGCTTTCCATTCCCTTCCATCCTCAAGCTGAGTTCAGAAATGGCACAAAATAATTTTTAAGGAAAGAACCCAGGCCCCATTAACATTCTTTACCACCTCAAAGTTTTCGTTTACCTAGCACTTTCACAGCCAGCAGCCAAGAGACTATTCTCCCCATTTTAAAGAAGAGGAAACTGAGGTCCTTGTGTATCATGACTTTCCTAGTGTGGAGTAAAACCCAGTTTGTCCCCCAACAATCTCCCATTTTACAGATGAGAAAAGGGAGGCCCCAGAGGTCAATTGCACCAAGATCACCCAAATGAAAGAGTCAGAATTCGAACCCTTACCTGCCTGAACCAGACAGGTTCCCACCCTGTCCCCTTGTCAACCGACACTCTGCTCCAGCAGCACCACTTCCTGCGACAAGATCAGAGCACATGGGAGGCAAGGACCTGGCTTCCCACCTTAGCTGCCACCTGCTAGCAGGTATCTTAAGGACTCCAAGCCTTGGTTTCGCCATTTATAAAATGAGCCAGTCTGGCTACAGAGCTCTGCTTTGCTGGGAGAGTGTGGATTAATGTCTGTCCATGGAAGGCAGCTTTGGGCCATAACTGTCAAAATTCTAAATGCCCAAACCCTTGACCCAGCCAGGCTGCTTCTACGAATTTCTCTAGTCACCTGCTCACACAAGTGCAAAATGATATATGAACTCAGCCTTCGTCATTGCAGCCTTGTTTGTAACAACAGAACGTCCCTCAAAAGAGAACTGTTAAGTGTATGGCAATATGTCCTGGTGAGGAATACCACACAGGCTAGTAAGGGCTGCAGATCTCTATATCACGATGTAAAACAATCTCAGAGACAGTTAAATTAAACAGCAGGCCCTGAGAGGGAGCCCCACAGTCTCTCTGAACAGCAGCGTTACACCCTCTAGGGGACATTTTTGAAATTTTTGAGGCCATTGCAATTCCTGGTTGTCACAAGATTGGAGCTTCTGGCACGTGATGCTAAATGTTCAACAAGGTCTTTCCACAACAAGAATACCTCTCAGCTCTCCTCTTTCTGGACAATCACATGCATGAGAAACTCATTCATAATTATGAGACCTGGAAGCTAGATCTATTTTACTCACATCTTTTTTGAACAGTTTTAATATGGTGTACATTGAATTTTCCAGAAATAAAACCACCATGCAATCCTCAGGAGGTTTAGTTGTCGTCTTCATGAGAACTTTACCAAGGGC